TATGACAAGCCTTCACAGAGGCAATGTACTTAGAGTCATCGCCAGTAATGATCAACATGTAGAAGTGTTCGACCACAAGTTGAATGGTGGACCAAAAGCGCAGGAAATAAAGAAGCCATTAGAGGTAGAAGAAACCTCAAGCTCAAGGAGTAGCAAAGAGGACCAAGATCATACATAAAAAATTAACTATGACGAGCCTTCACAAAGGCAATGTACTTGAGTCGTCATCAGTGATGACCGACATGTAGAAGTGTTCGACCACAAGGAATGGTGGACGGAAAGTGTAGGATAATGAGCACTCGCCAAAAACGAGCCACAATCACAATTGAGGGGAAGCGCTCAAACCAGGCACGAGGGGTTTGCTTAGGGCCATATGGAGAGTGATGAAGACAACAAACCATGCCATTAGGAAGAGAACCCAGGTGGTGGCTACATGTAGGCATTCTTGACATCAAGAGAGACAAACCATCGGTGAATAGAAGCCACATTGAGAAATGTGCGAAGAGTGGTCATGTGGGGCATATAGGAGCAAATGTCATCGTAGTCATGACCATGTTCTCACCACTAGACAAGCTTTGAAACGCTCAAGAGAATCACCGGTCTTAACCTTGTAGAGCCACTTACAAGTGATGAGACAAGCACGAGGAGGGAAATGAGATTTCACGTGCCGATGCGGGCAAGAGCATTAAGCTTCGATGCCATCACATGCAGCCATTCAGGATGAACAACCTTATGATAAGATGGCACATCGGTAGACACATCCACAACATGCGGATGATGTGTATAAAAGTGAGGAAAAAATGGAAGAATACGTGCTGGAATCATCGGGGTAAACTAAGGTCACGGAGACAATAAGGAAGCCACCGGTGATGATGTTGCAGAATCCCGTGATAAGCGAGGTGAGGAAATCATAGGAGATGATGGCATTGGATCTGCAATAATCGGAGAAGCAGGAGTAGTACGACGAATGGATTTGGGCCCAACAGGAGTGATAGGAGTGTCGGGAAAATTATGGAAAGACTCCATTTAAAAAGTCGAGGAAGATGGACGAGGCTGATAGGGTCGAGACTCATTAGAAGTTATATCCTGAGAAATAGACGACCTACATGATCCCAATAGAGATATCCCTTATGCTCATCGTTGTATCCTAAAAAGACACACGCAACGGACTAAGCAGTCAGTTTGGTGCGCTCACATGGGGCAAGGACATAGCAAACACAACCAAACAATTGAAGTGCCAAATAATCGGGAAACGATCGAATAGATGCCCGAAAGTAGTGCCACCTTGCAGAGGACTTGCTGAAGGTTGATGAGATAGATGGAAGTGGAGACAGACTCAGCCCAAAAGTGCGAGGGAATATAGGCAGTGACCATCAACGGACGAGCCGTCTCAAGAAGTTGACGATGCTTGTGCTCGGTCACGCCATTCTGAGCATGTGCGCGAGGATAAGAGAAACGAATGCAAGAGTACCCTGCTCAGCAAGGATTCCATGCAACAGCTTGGGAGATATACTCTCCACCAGAGTCATCACAGAACACACGAATAGGCGTATAGAATTGAGTATGAACCATGACTGCAAAACCCTTATAGATAAGATCTCACTACGAGAAGAAATAAAGTATATATCCAAGTGATGGCCTTCTTTGGAGGCAAAGGGAGATGGACGACCGACATCGGAGTGAACAAGGTTGAAAGGTGGCTGAGACACTGTCTTGCTATGAGTATAAGGTAATTGGACCCGTTTAGCAAGCCGACAAGCTTGACAGTTTAGAGACATAGTCGGATACGAATCCAAGAAGACCACGTCAAACTAAGGATGAGAGATCACAAGTGACCCAAGGCAATGATGCCACTGCTAAAAATAATAATTGGTAGACAAGGCAACAGAGGCAGAGACTGGCGACGGTGGCAGCAGAGGGACTTGATCCAGCATCCCACATGCCTGTGCACTCTCCATACCCTGCCGATCCGGATTGGTGTTCTTCTCCTGTTTGCGGGTTGTGGGACACGCACTTGATTAAGCACCCCAGGTTCTCCTACTGTGTGCCTTGGCCCCGGCTTTAGGTAGTGCTTGTCGTTGGCTCGTCCCGTGCATAATCCAGGTACGCGTCGACTGTCTGAGCTCCTGCTCACCATTGGTGGTGCTTGAGCGTGTTGTTATGGTGTCGCACAACAAGGGAACACGGGATGTGGGATTGGGACAGAACCCAGAGCAATCCGCAGCAAGGCAATGGATGCCCATCCAGACTGACACGGAGAGGAGGTGGACACAAAGGTGGATGTTGACTTCATAGGAGTCTCAATAGTGCGCTCATCAGTAAGAGCAGCACAAGCAAGATGATCTCAAGGAAGTAGCGAAGAGGAGCAAGATCATACATAAGAAACTCATTCTAACAAGCCTTCACAAAGGCAATGTACTTCATCGCCAGTCATGATCGACATGTAGAAGTGTTCAACCACATGTTGAATGGTGGACCGAAAGTGTAGGAAATAAAGAAGCCATTAGAGGTAGAAGAAACCTCAATCTCAAGGAAGTAGCGAAGAGGACCAACATCATACACAATAAATTCACTCTAATGAGCCTTCACAAAGACAATTTACTTCACCGCCACTGATGATCGACATGTAGAAGTGTTTGACCACAAGTTGAATGGTGGATCGAAAGTGCAGGAAATAAAGAAGCCATTAGAGGTAGAAGAAACCTCAATCTCAAGGAAGTGGCAAAGAGGACTAAGATCATACACAAGAAATTCACTATGACGAGCCTTCACAAAGGCAATGTACTTAGAGTCGTCGCCAGTGATGATCGATATGTAGAAGTTTTCGACCACAAGTTGAATGGTTGACTAAAAGTGCTGGATCATGAGCACATGCCAAAAACCAGCCGCAATCACCACTGAGGCGAAGCGCTCAAACTAGGCACAAGGGGTTTTCTTAGAGCCATATAGAGAGTGATGAAGATGACAAACCATGTCATCAACATTCTAACCTATAATGAGGCTCCCCAACTCGGCCTCCCGGTGCTCCCCCAGATTGAAGCTTTGTTAGCCATTCGATAGAGCTACTTTTGGTCAACTGGTTCGTCACGGCCATCAGATTGTTCTGCCAGTTTTCACCGCACGGTTAGTTTTCAGTATTATGACCGGTGGGCTCGTTCTTTCTCCCTATTGGCTGGGTGAGCCCTTCGTGGGTGCGAGCAACCCTGTCCTCGCACGCCACGCGTCGTGCGGCTCGTCGTGGACATCTCCGCTGATGCATGTAAACCCCATTTGAACCCTGGCCTCCCATCACAACCACCACATCTGTTCCTCCCCCTCCACCCCTCGTCCGCCATCGTCCGTCTCCACCTCCTATCCCGGCTCCTCTTGTGCCTCTTGTTTTCCTCCTCGCCTCCCCATTGCTCGCCCCCTTGCGCGGATTAGACGCATGTCGCCGCCATGGGAGACCAGGGCGACAGGGTCTTCACGGTGGGGGTGGAGTAGGGACGGTCATTAGGCTAGTGGCGGAGGGATGAAGCAGTGAGGCCTGTGTTCTAGGCGGTGCACACATTGCGGACTCTAGACTCTTGTGTTGTTGATTCGGTTTTGGTTCAGATAGAAGAGCTCTATGCTTACCAACTTTTGGGATAGCCAAGGTATGTGATTGGTTTCTCCACTTCCACCCTATGATTTGCAATTTCCCCATATGATGCATTGATACCATTTCATTGTGTGATTTTTCTGCAGGAAATAATCATCGGGTTTTCAAGTGTATGCATCGTGTGTAAGCCCAGTTAGTGCTCCTGGTTTATGAATTTAAGAACACATTCTCATCTCCCTGCTATCTATATTCCATTGTTTTAGATTTAAAAGTGCTTTAGATGAAAAAAATTAGGCAACCTTTCCATTTCAGGCATCATTTCTAAGTATTATGGCATCCACGAATTTCCCGATAGTTTGTTCTGCACCATGCTGCCTCATGTAGGATTTTGGCGCTCGTGATCTACCTTAGGTGACCTGCTCCCAGTCCTTCCCTGCCCTCTGACCTCTCTCCCTCTCTGTATGATGTTTGATTTGTGTTTTGGTTCAAATTTGACATGGCTTTCTGATTGATGCTTGGTTTAGAAAGGAACAAGTTCTAGAATTGGTAGAAGTCATATGTCATCCTTTGTATTTTTTGTCAAGATGAATGCTTCATAACAGGTGTATGGAGGCACAAAAGTAGACTCATATAAACTGCAGTTGCAGTATCAGCAATAAGCAAGGGACGTATCACATGTTTCTATCAAAACTGTGTATAAATTTAAGAGCTTAGAAAGAGAATAGTATCTCTGTTCCGGGAGAAAAATTTAAGAGCTTAGCAAGAGAATAGCATCTCTATAAATTTTAGAGCTTAGTTTTTTGCATATGCATGTAACAGCAACTCTTTTTTGTTCTGGTCTTAAATATCCTATTCATGATACAGAAATTTGCATCAAGCTTACCATGTTGAATTTTGGTAAGGGCAATCCCATTGTTTATGCATCTTCTTTAACAAAGAACGATATTTGGTGTATCATCTGAGATGTGCTTGATTAATGTCTTTCAGGCAATGTGTGATGCCATTTGCAACCTTCTTGTTGAGCAAGCTGAAACAGGAGTAACTCCATTAATCATTATGTCACATTGTAATCCATCACAAGAATCATCTCTCCTATTTCATTCACTGAATTTCTGTACTGCTGATGCTTACATATATGTATATTTTGCTTCTGCTTGATGTGTCTCGTGCCTGATCCGGTATTGATGATCTGTGTGGCTGAAAAAAAAATACATTGCCTGTGAATTTGTCTAAAGATGCATTATGATATCCAGCTGTGTTTGCATGTTGGGTCATGTTAGTAATGTGCTTTGAAATTATTTCCCCTCGTCTCAGTTTTGTTTTTCTTTAGGCAATATTATGGTATAAATATACATGTATTTTTTAGGCAATATTATGGTAGCTGCAGGAGTGGGCGGTACTCAGCTGCCAACAGGCGCTGATGACGGTGGCCGAGCTAGACCCCGTCAGGGACAGGGCGCGCATGTACGTCGAGGCGCTCCAGAGCAGCGCGTGGGGCAGTTGTCTCTGGTCGCTTTAGTTTTGCTTCTGAGCCATTATCGATTTCCCATTTCTTTCTTCTGCACTAGAAGATTGACCGTGTTGGAGGCTGTTAATCACAGCGACGTCCTGATGGAGTCGTTAGATTGTCCGATGACCAAACCAGTTGCCGAGCAAACGTTGTCGCCGATGCAGGAGCTGAACGCCGAAGGGCAGATCTGTGAGGCGCAGGGGGCAGCGGCTGCGGAGGGAGGAGGTTCACCATGGGCATCCAAGTAGTCGATTGGCAAGATGAATCCTGAACCCCCTGGCTGGACCCAAAGGTATGGCAGTATGTAGTTGTACAATTCTTGAATTTTAATCATGGTAGTCTGAAGGATCTGTGATACCTACCACACAAGCTGTACATGGAGGTAGCATGACTTCTTAGTAAGAATTAGGTCTGCTACAAGAATATATGATTATATCAGGAATTTAGATACTGAAAGGGTTAAGCAATTTGGTTGTGATAGCATTTTCTAAGCATGAACACTGCAGCCACTTCGTGACAGTACTGAATAAACATGTGCGAATTTCAATGCTTGTGTTACCTTGAAAACAAGTCTTACTGCATAGGTAAGAAAATATAATCAGAGTGCAAATTTGAATGCTTGTGTTACCTTGGAAACAAATGCTACAACATAGTTAAGAAAATACAATCAGAGTGCGAATTTGAATGCTTGTTTTTACCTTGAAGAATGCTACAGCATAGTTACTTAACTGATACAGAGTGAGGATTAAGTCATTTGCCTTATGTGAGGATTAAGAGCTACCACCAGAAAATCCAATCTAAAAATCCAGTGATGCAGGTCGGGATGGAAAACAAGATCATGAAGTGTAACTAGCCCTAGGTAGTAGGTGGACTGTAAATAATTGTAAGTCGAAGTTGTAGGTTTTGTCAGCAGGCAAAACCACAAGAGGCTTATTTAGGATTGGTACAAGTGAAACTGGAACAGCCTGCAGGTGCTTGAGGGCCGACGGTGCGGCGCCGTCGCCGCCGCAGTAGTAGAAGGTAGCAGGGATTAGTGATAGAGAACAGAGATCAGGGAAATTAGACTTTGTTGATTATTGCTTGCCTCTAAGAGCATCTCCAATAGAAGATGTAGATCCAAAAATAACTAACTTTTGCATCTCCAAGGCCCAAAACCCTTCACCAACAGATGATGTAGATGCAAAAAAATTACATCTCCGCCTCCCGGAGATGTAAACTACAACGCCTCGCAGTGCAAATTTGCATCTCCAGCATATGGGGATGTAAAAACGCAACCGTCCGCCAACTACCCAATTGTCGTTCATTTCACTTCCACGCGACCAGTCGCTGGCCGAATTCGCCCAAATTCGCCGCCGCCCACCCGACCCCTCCGGCACCCCGCCGCCGGTTTCGACCGTCAGCCGCCGCCGCACTCCGCGAATCGGGTGTTTTTTCGCCACAGCTCGATTCCATCGTCGCCACCGTCCCGCCCGCATCACCGCACCGCCGCCACCCACCCGTATCACCGGGCGCATCCCTACACCCCCGCCGCCCTGCCCGCATTCCCGCACCGCTGCTGCCCCG